GTTGATAATCCTACAGCGAAAGATTTGGCAATTCATTTTTCAAAGCTACATGCAACGATGAAGGCACAATTAAAAAAAGCTCAAGAACAACAAAAGGTCAATGCGGATGTCTATCAAAAGGAACAACCACCATTCCACATGGGTGACAAGGTATGGTTACTTCGTCACAATATCAAGACCACTCGTCCTTGTGATAAGTTGGACTATTGAAGGCTTCGATCATTTTTTATTTCTGTACAAATCAATCCAGTTGCATATCATTTACACCTATCAGAGTCAATGAAAATCCATCCAATATTCCACAAGTCTCTTCTTGAACCATACAAGATAGTGAACATACCAAGAAGAAAACAAGCTCCACCTCCTCCTATAGAAGTGGACAATAATGAAGAATTTGAAGTAGAAGAAGTCTTAGATTCAAGGCGACGCCAAAATAAACTAGAATATCTTGTCCATTGGCTCGGATATGATCTTAGTGAACGCACATGGGAGCCAGTAAAGAATCATGTAAATGTAGCAAAGGTGGTGGAGGCTTTTCATCGATGACATCTATCAAAATTAAGATAAAAATCTTCTTTATAAAAGAAATAAGATCTAGGCAAGATAACATTCTACTTTCAATTCTTATTTGTAGCTTCTTTATAGTTGTGATGCTCAGAAAATAGAGAACCAACAACCATCGGATTTGATTCAAGAACCTTCATTTACTGACTTCCCAAATAAGACATTATGATTGACACAACCTTCAAGACGACACAATCAAGATGAAGATCTTCAAGAATGACATGTTCTCCCTCAAATAGATGGCGAGATATAACACATTTGGTATCACGACCTTGGAATGAACTCGTGATGTTTGGTGATTTTATTAGATGTAGGAACAACTCCTCACAGTGTTCCAAATATTTTATTCGAAGGAAGTTATGAAGGCCTCAACAATGATCAAATAACTGGATGGCCTTCCCGCCCTGGTATGGGACACTATCGATGGTTGAGAGGTATTATCAATCATCTTCAAAGAAAAGAGAGATCAGAGTATGTGACAAATATAATTCGTCGTATTATAGATTTCCTCAAAATATGATTACTGCTCTTTGTGGAACTCGTCCCTAGAAGATGAGGTAATGTCATGGACATACGCATGTAAGCCTGTAATTACATGTATAAATAGATAGAAGTAAGTAAAAATAAATAAAAATAAGTTAATTCTATAGTATTTGATATGAAAGCTTCCTAGAAGCTTCATAGATGTTGCTTTGACTTTATAGGTATCTTTAATTGACTTTTTGGGACTAGAAACGTGGTCAACAAGTTGGCCATGTATCACACATGTTGTTAGCTTAAAGACCAAGCTAATTATGTGGCCCACATGTAGAAAAACTTGCCTTGTAAGTCAAGGCATGTATCCTACAAAGTCAACACATATTGGAGGCCCTATAGAATGTCGCCATGTAGCCCCTAGTAAGATAGTATATATAGAGACAAGAGTGAAGCCCTCTTCACTCTTGTCAACTCTTTTCTTGCTTCTAGTCTAATTTCAAGGGTCTTTGGTTTTCTTGTCTTTTGGCAATAGCCATTCCAGTTTCTTTCTTAATATACATATTGAGTTATTTCTATTTTGTTAACTTTCTTTGAGAAAAAACTCACTTGTTTATTTTTCTTTATCAAGTTCTTGTCCTTGACATCTTTTGACTATGTTGATATCCTTCAATGTTGCGGCTTTTGCTAAAAATTGCTAATATCATCCATGGTATTAAAACTTATGCTCACAAATTATTTTTTTAATATTTTCATAGCTTATGATTCATAATAATGTATATAAGATTATATTCAACTACTCATAACAAAATAATAATAATAATAATAATAATAATAATTAATTAAGATTAAATAGCTCATTATCAACCAATATATCAATGATTCTACTATATACTTTTAAAAGGCAAATAATTCAATATTAATATAATTATAGATCATTTCAAATATTAATAATGTATTTGTTTTAAAAATCAATTAGTAAAAAGTAGATAACATATGATATCAAAAAAACAACAAACTTTCTTAAATGCATAAATATGATAAGAAGTATATAAAATATATTAAATATAATACTAAATTCAATAGTTGATTATATCATTTGAGCTTCTATTATCTACTTTCCTATGGTTAAGAATGGTTTGTAAAGAACATACGAATTTTATCTAAATTTATTTTTTAATAATAAATAAGTAAAACAAAACTACTTATAGATTCAAAAAGAGACAAATTCTAAGATTGAATTGGTATAAAAAGTTTCAACCTAATATATAGAAATTAAAATCTATAAATATATTTAAATTATTTATTAGATAAACAAATACAACTTTAAGAAGTAAAATAAAAATATATATATTTATATTTATATTTTAAAAAAATATTTATTCAACTTGTCTATAAACGTATAAAATAATAAATATTCTATTCTTTTAATACTAAATACAATCAAAACTCCTTTCAAATAAAAATCAATTAACTTTAATTTGATGCATTGGATATATAAAGATTATATTTTAGACTTGATAAGAAAAATATTAGAATAAGAATAAATAGTTATTGATAATAAAACACTAAGAAGTCTTAAACTAATATAGAATAAAAATAAAAAGTATTGATAAGAGTGAAAAAGGCCTCACTCCTTATTCTATATATACTATTTATTAAAGAAGTACAGAGTGATGACTTATAGGCCATATGTCATTTGTTAAACTTGCAAAATATGTGTCTAATTTGTAGAATAATTTTCCAACATGTGCACCATATGGCCAACTTGTAATAATAATTAAAAGCTTTATTTTTTAGATATTTTATTTAATTATAAGTTTTTAGAGAAATTTGATATGTATAATAATAAATGAAGTTCTAATTATCATCAACTTATATCAATACTAAGAATCTTGAGTTAATTTTTAGTACACGAAGGATGACTTCAAAACTTATTAGTTAGAATCATGTAATTGTATTTATTAATAAATTATAAAATTAAAATTTTACTATTTTTTTTAAAAAGCTACATAACTTCTAAAAATCATAAATTGTAGTAGAACTTACTTTTTGATAATTATTAAGATCAATTTATGTCTAAAAACTAACTTATCAAATTAGAAACAATTGTCAATTAGATTTTTTGTCTTTTCATGTATGTAAAATAAAAAACAATTGCTAAATTTTGGTGGTAGGATTGTTTATCTATCTATTCATAAACACTTTTAAAATATTTTAAAAAATAGAGAAAATTTATTTAATTAAATAAAAAATTATCTTCTACTAACAAGAAACATTGCAATACATATATAAGAAGCTGGTTGTAGAAAATTTAAGAAATTTAACTCAGGTTTTTTATGAAAACTTATCTAATTTCTATTCTTGGAAATGGAAGCAAAGTAACACGTCCTCTAAATACTCTTCAGTAGAAAGCAACAAAAACAGTAGAGAAAAGTTTTAAGGGACCAGTTTTGAAAACCATGCTAGTTCTGAACAAGCCCAGATTTTGCTCAGATTTTCTCAAATGGAAAAGCTAGACCTCCATTCACAAATATGATGGAGATTCTAAAAGCCTAGATAGGTTCTTAGTCAAAGTCCACCAGGATGATGTTGATTTGTCAGGATGGAGGTTGTCTGGACATGGACATTGTCGATGTGAAGCACGTTGCTACTAAAAAAATTCTAAAGAGTAGAAAAACGATGCGCCTTCAAAGGTGCTTTTAAGCCCAATTTTCCAGAAGCATTCATCTCAATGTGCAGAATGACTGAAAGGTGCCCAACATTACTTGATTGTGTACGGCAAAGAATCAACTGTTACTTCATTCTTTACTCCTAAGTTCCTATTTCAAGCTCGACCTTAATTTTGCAGTTTAAACCTATTTTTGCTCCACATGTCAACGAACACAAGTTTATTTTTTCTGCTCTTTTGAATAAGTGAAGGAAATGTGATGCAGTCTATGAAGAACAACAAATGTTAGCATCTATGAGTTTTGTTCAAAGTCCGAATGTACGTATATGTATATGAATAAAGAGAAGAGAAGAAGAAAACATACATTTAAAGTTGAAAAATGAATGCTTCACTCAACTTTTGTGCAGTAGCGTCAATAACCATGGCACTGATATTGCCAATGAGCTGCCAACGTGGATGATATTGTAGTGTACATTGACCAAATGTGTATGAACACTTTAAATGTTGCTTTTAGTGTTGCTTAATGATAATGAAAGAGTCGAAACTAGAAAGTCAAAGATTGTCAGCTATCTGAAGGACTACCCTCACACTGGTATTTAGGACGAAACCCTCATTTTGTTTAATATCATTAGAAGCTCACAAAATAGCACTCATATGAGAAAGCCACAAAAAAAAAAAAAAAAAAAAAAAAAAAAAATTGAAATGCATAGTTCTCAGAGAATGAAAGATGACGTACAATGCAGAATTTGATGTCTCATGGAAATCAACAAGATAAAAACACTCGATTAACACTGCTTTACCTTTACCATTGATGGAGTTTGGAGTCTAGTGTGGAACCCATTCAGTGCTTTTGTGGATTCACGCTTTATAGATCTTGCCGCAGAGGGCAGCTGGGCTTCAAGGTTAATGATTCATATGTAGAAAGGAAACAGTTTTACCTCCAGTGCATTTGACAGGCTACGTGCGTTGTAACTACACAAATGCACATTCATTTACTCTCCGTAGTGGGGTATCGAATTTCCAACACAACGGTTCTGTGAATGAAAAGCCTCGGGAATCGGCGTTTCACTTGCCAAGAGCTGACACATGGCGTCCTTCTCTACACCTCAGTTCGTTGACTGAAAACAGATCTCACACTAGTGAATTCGTTCAAAATTGGTGGCAGGGTCCCACTTTCCTCAATCGATCGCTTTGGCGCGAGTGTGTTTTTATATGCGGTAGTGCTTCTACTAGGTAGCACTGAGGACGGTGAAAACCCCCGAGGCTGCTACAAATCAAGTATATAAACAGACATCACACGAGTGGTAGTTTATACTGATCGGGATTAATGGAAGCATGACATCTTACGATACAGTACGGTGCGGTGCGGCGGGGTGCTGAAGATGAGAACTGCGATAATCCATCCACAATACCAGCTCCGGTCTCTGGATGTGCATAAGGTAGTGTTCTTGTACTTGCTTATTGCATTAAGGGTATTGATTCTTCCAGGATCTCATAACCTGCAGTACTTGTCTACATCCGACAAGCTGCAGGGTCTGACCAAAGGTATCAGTTTGTGGCGACATGCTCATGAACAAGAGTCCTAAACTTTTGTTGCTGATGGCTGTAGGTAGCTCACTGGCGTGTTCCAAGTTTTGAGAAAGTTACTATTTGTGTTTGACAACAGCCTTGTCTGTGCGTTCAATCGACTTGGTTCATATCATGACACATGATGAATTCTCAAATTCTGAATAAGGAGCCCTAACTTGATGCCCTCCTCTGTTTTTTTGGACCAATTCAGGATCCCAGTCTCTATGGTCTCCATTAGAGTTCAAACATCGTTCGCAAGGAAATCACAAAAGTAGTTTTCTAGTTCTCACGAAAACATCCAATCTAAGTGTTGAACATGTTTTTCTTTCTAAATTGAGGGTGTGCAGCAAAGACTGTCACCTGTTACCAACTTGGTTGATACTGAATGCATTCATTGTGGTTGTTTACAGGATATTTTCGGACTGCAGACTCGTGATTGCAGATTGAAGGAAGCACACCTTTCAAAACATGACGTCGCTCCCCAGTGTCGTCATTGCACTCGCAGTCCTGTGTGCGGTGGGAAGCATAGCTTTAGTAAAAATTGTGGATGGAAAGCCCTTTCCAGCTCCCGACTTTAAGCTTTGTAACTTGGCGTTTGGTTCAACGGAAGCCTGCTGCACGTTACCGGAACGCTTGAACCCTCTAAAGGAATTTGATTTCCAACCCCATCTGCCCATGCGAGTGCGACCCGCGGCTCATCTTGTCGACGATGCCTACATTGCCAAGTACCAAAGAGCAATGGAACTCATGCGAGCGCTTCCAGAAACGGATGGTCGATCATTCCAAGCGCAGTACAGACTTCACTGCGCTTACTGCAACAACCATCTTTACTACGAGTCCCCCGAGCAGCCGTTGGAGATTCACCAAAACTGGCTGTTCCTCCCCTGGCACCGCCTCTACATGTACTTCCACGAGCGAATACTGGCAAAACTGATCGGCGACGACGAGTTTGCCCTGCCCTACTGGAATTGGGACAACCAGTCACCGGTTGCCCCCTATCCCGGAGCGGTTCCGAGAGTATATGATCTTGAGTGGAGTTTATCACCAGATGCAATTAACAAGACATCGTCACTGTATGACGCCGACCGCAACAATTGTAGCAAACCTCCTCGGCTTCCGGAGTTCCACAACTTTACGGCATGTGAACCGCAGAACTTGACATTAGCTCGAGAACAGAATGCCCAATTGATGTGGACTCAAGCAGTATCAGTTTCAGTGACGCCCTTGATTATGTCTGGGGCGCCGTATCGATTTGGCGACTACGGTGGCATGGGGATAGGTGGGATTGAAGGTAGACCCCATGGACCAGTGCACTTATGGGTGAATGAAAAAGACATGGGGGTGTTCAAAGATTCGGCCTCAGACCCAATTTTTTTCGCGCATCATGCTAACATGGACCGATTGTGGGAGATCTGGAAAACATTTCCTGGGAAGTACCGCAAGGATGTCACTGATCCAGATTACCTCAACACGGCCCTCACCTTCTTCGACGAAGACGGCGACCAGGTGAGCGTCACTGTGGCACAGGCGCTGAACCTCGACCTGCTGAGGGTTAAATACCAGGAAGTGCCGGTTGCGTGGGCCAACAAAGGAGCAGTGCAGGAAGGCGCAGATCCTTCCTGGAGATTCTGCAACCCACATTCTTCTGATGCCGACATCGCCGCAATGATCAATAGGACTCGGCGCTTTAAGGGACCGGTATGGGTTCAGCAGGACGGGGTAACGTTCAAACTGAGACGACAGCCCTGGATGTCTGAGCACCTCGGTGAGGAGATGCTTGAGATTAAGGGGAACTTCAACTGGAGTTCTAATCATGCTTTGAACGCATTCGCCTATTACCCGGACGCAAACTATGAAAGGACCTCGGTTGGGTGTTTCGAGTATATCGGTAACCTGCTTTCCTTTCCGCACACTGGCATGTCACCGGGTATTAAACCCGTGATCAGGTTTCGTATGGGTATCCAGCGCAAGCTGGAGCTCATGAGCAGGGCTCATCTCAAGGAGGTCGTGATTACGCTTGTCGGTGAAGCACCAGTGGCGTCAACGGATGACACTGGTGAGACTGGCTTCAACCTCACCAGCTTAACAATCATATACTCCAAAGAGTAGGATTGTGGGATAGAAATCTCCTGGTGTGACAATGACACCGTACTGAGAAGGGATCCTTCCCAGAATACGCTTGAAGCGCAGCTCCCAATCTACCAAGTGCCAGGATTTGCGATTTTGGTCGATGAAACCACTTAAATTCTTTGAAACTTGACATTACCGTGAAACATATGGGAAAGATTGAGTAAAAGTGAAGGGGATAGTTGCAAGATGTAGCCTCCAGTCAAATAATTACGTTCATTTAGTTTATTTCTCAAAAATATGCTCGAAATTCACAATGGTATCTTATCACAAATAGTTTCAGTTAGACCTAGTCCAGCCAAATCTTGATTGATGAATTTAACTCCTGTGGGATTAACACCGTCAGTTGTGAAGCGCGATCCAATCCCGTACCAGGCATGATAAGCATGCAGGGTTCAATCTGGTCACACGGCGCACATCCACTATAGTAAATGCACGCTGAAACATAACAGAAAATGTCACATAGCGACAGGTAATAAAAGATTTAAATAAGGAAATACAAAGCAGTGAGGTTGTAGAATGTTAGGTGTTCCCTCTACAACAATAACTCAGATTAGCAGGAATCTCTAGGTCGTTTTAGAGAACAAACAAAAAAGGCCGTCACATTATATAATTCCCTGACGAACATCAATAGCCTAGATATTAACGATCACCATAAAAATTTAAGAAAATTTAAATCTCCGTACTTAACATTGAATCGCATCTCTAAATGGTATACTAAAACTTCGGATTTGGAGTTAAAGAATTACAATTATAGTATCTATGAAGCAGCCCATCATCCAACATGCAGAAAGATTATCACAGAATTCAATTTGCAGACCTAATATTCCTTTTCACAATCAAGAGTTCATACATTATAGAACAACATCCACATGCTTCACCAGATAGCCTAAAGGACCAATCCATCTCCAGAGTAAACTGAATCCAACACATTTGAAATTCAACCATGCATCAAGCCCCCATCCTTTCAGGCGCAGCTCTTCTTCCGACTCAACCCGTTCTAAGAGAGAGAGAGAGAGAGAGAGAGAGAGAACGCATCCTATAATTCGATGTCATGAGTACCAACGAAGGCAGCAGGCCACTCAAATTCATTTCTAACCTTCATATGGATGGGCCATCGTACAGCCAGAATAAAATGTTCCAAAAGCACAAAATGCCTAGTAATAAGGTCTGTAACGCATTGGCCTCCTAAACCTGGGCACTTTCCTGCACATCACCTCCAATGTGTTAGCACCATGCACGATGAGTTTAAGTATAAAATTAGCAACCAAGTAACCTTGATGAACTAAAATTCACTTAACCAACTACAAAGTACCAGATTCTACGAATAACTTGGGGGGGCTACAAAGAAAACAGAGGCACTATGAATATACAGTCAGAGATTGGTTCATCTAAAAAAATGATAGAAAAACTATTAACACTACTTAAGAAATCAACAAGCTAAATAAAAAGCAGGAAGCACGGTAACTTTGAACTCCATATGAAATATGCACCACTACAACTCAGAATGGAATCCACCAAGGATGCCCACCCAGAACCATAGGAAGCATACCCATAGGGAGCTGAAAAGGGCCTCCGTGGGCGGTACCCATAATAAGGGGCGTAAGGTCGACCCCGATAGCCCTTCATTCCGGGCACATTTGTCCTCTTCGCTGTAACCTACAAACATATTCCAGCTATCCCACTTAAAACAGGAATACAAGGCATTCCAGACATCAAAATCGCATTTCAAGAACTGTCTCATGTCGTGAGTAAACTTTCATGAAACCTATGAAAAGTACAGTGCATGATTGGCATGTAAAAAGGACAATATCTGCAGCCAAAAAAAGTTTAAAAACCTTAATTGGACGATTATGCAACTCAGATTCACTAAGAAGTATAGCGTTTTGAACTGCTTCGACCTCCAAAAATTCAACGTACGCATACCTGATGTCAAGAAGCATGAGGTCAGATACCGAACATGATCCATCTTTTGCGTATCGCAAAAACATTGTCCAGCCAATACGAAGCAGCTACTTTTTTTCCAAAAAAGAGCTACACTTACACAGGATATTCTACATATGCTATCCAAGTTCAAAGCCTCTAGTAAGATATTATCAAAGCATCACAGCAAATGCTCAGTGACCAAGCTGGTGAACAAGGAATATTACCCTTTGGGTGATCCAAACTTGTCAGTCAAAATTGTGACACGATTAACTGTACCACACGACTGAAAATGCTGTTGTACTTCTTCTGGAGTGCAGGCATAATCAACCTGCGAAGCAGAAACAATAAACTCAGACTAAGTGTTCGCTAAAATTCCTTCACAAAGTACGCAGGACCTTAAACTGCTGCATAAACATAGTTGCGTGTACCCAGATCAAAATCACAAATTAGTCAACTAAAAATAAGAATGCAAGCAGACGTCAAAATTAAAAATTCCCACAGGCAGATGAACACATCATCACAAAATATAACAAAATTGGAGAGAGTGTTTACATTCCCAACAAAAACTGAACGCGCATCAGCCTCCTCTCGGTTCGCTTGATCTCCATTTGTGAGTGCTGAATCTGAACAGTTCAATTCACGGGCGAGTTACTTCGTGAAGAAAGAAAATTGTTACATTGTACATGAGACCTGAAAAAAATCGTAAGTTGCGCCTTGGGACCACAATGAACGAAAATATATTCCCAGTCCACATCTCAACAGTCAATTACGACAACAGATATTTTATGCACGCTCAGCCGAGTACGTAGGAAAATGAACTTAATGTCACAATAAGACCTGCACTTAAATACCTAGAACCTGACTCAGATACTCACTATGACAAACACGTTTCGGTTATGTAAAAACATAAAGAAAAATCAATTTCTGATTCAAAATCAGGCTTACTGCTGTGCGAAGTTAACATGCGAGAGTAAATAAGAAAAATCAAACCTTGACTACCGCCCATCTCCTTCTCGACTTTAGCCTGCATGTCGCGCAGAGCAGCAGCTTCTTCTTCCATCTCCTTCAAGCGTTTCTTCATCTCCTCTAGCTCCTGAATGGGCACATAATGGAGACAATGGGGAAATGAACAGGAAAACATCAAATGGCAGCTAAGAATGTTAGCATGATTACTGACAAACGCCCACCTATGGACTAATCTAAAAACAGCGCAACATTGTTGTTCTCCTTATTTCCATTTATTCTTCCAAGCGACACTTTAAAGCTATAAAGCTTAACAATTCACATATCTGAAAGACAGCTCCCAGAACAATCCTCCTGTGACCAAACCTTTAGAACAGGAATATTCCTCCTGTAAATCCCTTGGCAAGTCGCACCGTTATAAGCCCAACTATTTACCTATTACTAGATAAGGATCTCAAATGCATACGAGTTTGAGTTATATATATATATAACATCAAATTTTCCAAAACACCTTCAACACATGCAAAAATCTCAATAGATTGCACAATAAATTCCCACAAGACAACCTTCGAAGCAACCTCGTCGGTGCCAACATCTTCCCCCTTAAGGAGCAGGTCCTCCCCATCTCCATCCGAGTCAACCTCAAGCTCCCCCTCCACTTCGTCGGGTATATCACCACCGTAAACTTCATGCTCCTCCTCCATTGGAAACTCTCCGCCTGGCGTCAAACACACTCTAAAACCCTGGTGACAACAAGCTGCACCAACCAACCCACAACCCACCCCAACTTCTGTGCTCACTAAGCACAAAAATCCTTCGAAACCCAAAACCCTAAAGAAAGAGTACCGGAAACCAGGCGTAGGGTTTGGTATAACGGATCCCGTAACGAGAACGAGACGCAAAACAAGAGGCGTGGGCCTCGTCCCGACGGGTGGGCTTTCTCTCGCTCTCTCTCTCTGCCACGAAGGTGTTGGTCCGTTAAGGGTAAAGAATCCACTTCTTCGAGGAGGAGGAGGACGACGACGAAAGAAGAAGTAGAATACGAGTAGAATGAGGAGTGAGTTTGAATGAATGAATGAATAAATACATAAATACATAAACAAATAAATGAGAGATGGGCCCCACCCTCCCTCGCTCTCTCTCTCTCTCTCTCTCTCTCCTGAGTTCTGACCTAATTTCCACCCCCTTTATTTACACCCTCATTTACACCCTCATTTACACCCATTTCCCCTCCGACCCATTATGGGTGCAAATCTTCAATCAAGACCACCATGTTATTTTCTCAAATAACTGTATCATATAAGGCGTTAGTTTACTATAAAATTATATGTTGTTAATCCTTGTTGATTGTGTTTTCTATGAGTATTTGTGATCTTTCGTCTTTCCTTCTTATTGATATTAAATACAATGGATTAAGTTCTGATTGTAATCTCAAGTTGGAACTTTTTTGGTGTGGGTTATTGAATCGATGATTTATTATTTTATTTTTTATATTTAATATATAGAACTTAAGTTACAATCCATTGTATTTGGCATCATATTGATTTTGAGTTATAAAATGAAAATTCTCTAATTTTGATGTATTCAGCATTCAGCACCTTTAAAACCATGTGATTGAAAAAAGATTTCAAAATATAGGATGTGCAAAAAGAAATAAACATATACAAATTAAAAATAAGAGTAAAAATAAACACCAGAAATTAATTTAATATTCTAAAAAAAATTGTACATAAAAATGTGTGTCAATAATTTACTTATGAATTTTTTACATTTATTTTATTTTAATTTGTAACTAAATTACGTTCTTTTACTTTTTAATCTGCTGTTATTTAAATTAAATACATCTATTTTAAAATAATATTTTTTATTCCAAAAATATAATAATTATTATGTAATAGTATTTCTTTAAATAATTAGAGGCAGTTATAAAAGAGCTGAAAATATATATTCCAAATCCCTCCAATTCCAAAACAAGTGACTAAAAGAGAGATGGAGAGGAGAAGAGGGACTAGGAACAAGGGATGGGGGACATGAGATAAGAAATAGCGATAGAAAAGAGGGACATGGAACTAAAAATAGGAAACTAGGAACATGCAAGTAGGAATAGAGGACTAAAAACATGGGATTGAGAATAGGGGACTTGGAATAGAAAATTACAACCATAGGACTAGAAATAGGAAAATGGGAACATGAGACAAGGAAGCAGGAACATAAAACAAGGACAAGAGATGGACAGAATTAATCATGAAATGGCAAGAGGGGTATGGCTTTAATAAAATTGGGGTGTGGCTTTAACAACTTCCAATTTTTAATATAAAAATTATTACAAAATAAAATTTAAAAATTATACTATATATATATATATATATATATAGAAATAACATTCTTTTTAGTCAATACATTATTTTTATTAAATTCATTTTTTATGAATAAAAATTAGATAATATAAAAATTAAATTATTTATAGTAAAATATTATTTATTAAAAAAATAATAAAACTCATAGTTATTGATAATATTTTTATTAGAAGACAAATACAAACTATTTTTTAAATTTTTCCTAGCAATATTTAAATAAAAAAGAAAATGTAAATATTAAGTAAATTTAAATTTTTGTGTTACTTATTCAATATGAATGTAATAGAAATCTTTACAAATCAATAAATTTGAATTAAATTAGATATAAATCTAATAAAATAAAATCTTTGTATGTAATTTATAATTATTGATTTTTTCATTCTTTCATAGTTTTGTTTGTTATTAAAAATTTCTATATTTTGCTCTTATAAATAAATAAATATATATATATATATATATATATATAGAATAAGAAGCTTTTAGGTATATATTTTATATTAGAATGTTTTATTTTATCAATTTAATTGAATTACACTAAACATAAATGCAAAACACTTCATATAATATAAGATAAAAATGTAAAATATAAGAAATAAAGAAATAAAGGAAGGAAAATTTTTTAAAAATAATAATTATAAAGGCTCATAATTAATTCAATATATAAAATTTTATAAAACAGTGAGATTCAAACTTTTCTTAATATACATTAAACTTTTGCAATATGCAAATAAATCAAAAATTGACTAATCAAAAATTCATATTTGTTTAAAAAATATTAAAACAGCTCTTGTCATATTATGTATTTGCACTAATCATTTTTAGATAATATTTTACGAAATATAGACATTCTATGAATATGAAAAAATCTAAATTATAAAAAATTAGACATCTTGATAATTTTAACACTTGTAGTTTTTAATGAAACAACCAAAAGAAATGGCTAGGTCAATAAAAGCAAATACTATGGCTAGGTCAACAAGAAATCAAATTTATATTTATTTTTTAAAGATGAAGAATATATATATATATATATATATATATATATATATATATATTATAAGTTTTTGAAAATATTATTCCTTAAAATATTATTAATAATCAAGACATAATTTATATTTTAGTTTGTTCATTAGCTGTAGTTTTTAATAAAAACAAATACTTAAAATCACATGGAAAGAAGTAGCTAAAATATAAATGATTGGTAGGATTGGTAGCAACTAAGACTTAAGAGAATTGTTGTAAGAGTATTAATTTTTGAAAGGAATTTAATGATAATCCAAAATAATATATGAAGATTTATTCTATATTTCTAAATAAAAGATATTGAAAGTAAAATGTTTTAATACTCCACATATCTTATCCTTTGCATCTTAATTATTTTCTATCATCTAAAAATTGTTATCTTCAATATATCAATTAAATATTTTTTCTGCTCGTATTGAGATTTGAGCTACAAGATTGTTTTTAATGATACATTCTGATAAACAGTAATATATATATATATATATATATATATATATATATAATTTAGACATCAATAATACCAATTCTGATTTTAGATGTGTATAGAATTATATCTTATAGAAGAAGGTTAAAAAAAATTTGGAAATTATTAACCACCAATTAAAGTATTCTTAAATATACACTTGTTTTATTAAAAAAAAATAAAGACACATATTTGTGTTATTACATATATTTTAAAAAAAAATCTTAGTGAAATTACAAAATGATAGTTTTAAAATATTATTATATATATATTATATATTCTTTTGGTTATCTTTTTATTCATAAAAGATTAACTTGAATATATATATATATATATATATATATATATCTGATGTATTTTAAGACCATATCAAGTTTTATTTTTATATTGAGAAGAAAAAAGAAATTCTATATTGCAAAAATATGTCACAAAATTTTGAAATTTTGAAATTTTGAAATTTTAAAACCTATCTGATTGCATTAAAAATTAGAAGATTGTCTACTTAATTGTTTCAAAGTAGCTGAATTTATATTTAAGCTTTTTCAAATTACTTATAAACAAAACAATTATATCTTGTTTCTTATTTCTCATATCTTATTTTACAATTATTTCTTAATCAAATCTTGATTTACTTGAAAGATTGGTCGATTATAAGTAGTATATTATATCCAACATAATACTAAATAAATATAAGAAATTAAGGGTGTGAAAGAAATTTTACATAAAGAAATATCAAAATTGAAAAACAAAATTAGGTATTTTTTTTCCTTTTTTCAAAGCATTAAACTTTAAATAATCTTCAATATATATATATATATATATATATATATACATACACACACATATACATAAAGTCAAAAAAAATTTATAGATGAAAAACTTAAAATAAAGAAATATTTTACTTTAACATTTTCGCAATCAAGTAGAAAATCCATATAGAATTTTGTAAAAAACATAACTACAAAAAATAAAAAGATAAAGGACATAAAAACAAAAAACAAAAGACAAAAAAAAAAAAACAAAACAAAGCAAAACAAACAGCATCTTCCAGTATAAGTTGTTTACATGTAAGATGGGATGAGGTACAATACTAGATTTTATTCACTAAAAAATTGAAGGACGTTTCAAACCAACTTGCTAGCATACAGAAGCATACAGACACATATACACTAATCAAATTTTTTATTATTTTATTGAAATAATGCATTGATTGAATTAGAATTAAAATTTATACTAATATTTACGAGCTCACAATTGAGTATGCACTTACAAAATTAAGTTATAAAGTGACCAAGAGTATGGAAAAAAAACTTTAAAATAAAATAGGTTAATTTAATGTAAAATTTATAAAAAAATAAATAAAAAAAAGTAATATTATTTAATCAATTCCATAATAAAAAAACTTATATATCAAGTTATAATACTCGAAATTAATTTATAGCTAAAAGACTAGAAAATAAAAATACTAATATAGTAAAATATAAGATTAATAGGAGACCTTGCACATTTAGAGCAGGGCAAAAAACTATCTATACCTATTATATGTATCAAATTGTGCATTTGGATTCCACAAAGTATATGGTATTATTAAATTATGTTTATACTTAAAAATATATAAGTGGATTTTATTAGCAAAGATATCCATGAAAGAAATGACATAATCAAATCTATTTTATTTGTTAATAATTGGAGAGCTTGTGGCGTAGGTACAAGAAAAAGAAAAAAAATCTAATTCAAACATGTCTTAAACATATCTAAGAAATAGCTAAAATAATTTCCGGTTTAAATCTTTTTGAATTTTATATTTGAATTAACTTAATATCAATAGATGATTTATAAAGACTTTCTATTGAAGTTTTGTTATTTCAAATATGAATCTCTGCAAAATACATATTGGAACTTATACAATGTAAATAAAGCAAAAAAATCAAACTAATTAAACTTATTATGTAATGTAGACATAAGTGTTTTTAAACTCATCATAAGTAATAATAGAAATTGCTTCATTACTTAAATTAACTTATCTAAAATAAATTAGGAATAATATATAATTAAAATAGATGTCAAATACGGATTAAAATAAAATTTATAAGCACATACACTTCTTCAAAAAAAAAAAAATATATATATATATATATATATATATATATATATATTAAATGCACTAATAACTAGAGAGGTATTTTGTACATGAATGTTATGAAATTAAATAAGAATTTAAAACTTTATCAAAGTTAAAAATTAAATTATTTTAATAATATTAGATTTATGAAA